AAAGTAAAAAGGAACGAAGAACAATATAGTTTTATTGGATACTATAAGTCACAAAGAGTGGATGCATCTGCGCCATCATCGAGAACGATTTTGAGCCATATCACCAATTGTCTCCAGCCTTCATTGGTGTTTATCGTCCCAAGAACCCCAACCAGGAAGTATACACCTTCCTAAGTGACTGACTTAAACTAACTGTTGTGGATTTCATTGACTAATGAAGCCATGTTTTGGTTCGACCACCACTGGCTCTTTTCCAACCTGACCCTATGTCAGCTAACATTGCTCGCGAGGAAGGCGGTCGATGGCTAGACATGCGCAACACATGTTCTTACCATCTCACTCAGTCGATTTATCTTCACAGCCTCGTCTATTGATTTCCCTTCCGTACCTAGCACTCGACGTCTAACCTCAGTATTGCTTACCCTACTGTACCACTTCACATAGGAGATAGAACTCAAGGCACCTATGATCAAAGACAGCTATTCTTTTCATGTGCTACACTCTCAATGGTCAGGTCTCACAGTCTTCAAGGAGAACGGAGCGGACTGCTGAGCAATACACACGCCCTTTGTTTGAGACCCAGCCGGATATCACGTTTATTAATCCAGAGACGGCGTAAACTGGCATATGCGAAACTACCCTTCTATATCCGTGCTGAGATTTCATCAGTGATCAACCCGGTGTGGCTGGCTTCACAAATAAGTGCAACGGTCAACGTACTCTACCACTTCACTCCCTATTTCTAAGCTAGGAGTGAGTCAATGTAGTCCAATCCTGTAGCCTGATCATCTTACAGAAGTCACTGATATAGTTTTCACATAATCCCCTTGTTTCTGTCACTGTCTGAAACAATACCAAACAAAGTGAGGGTGACTGACTACCAGATCGATCATTTTGTCTGTGACAGTATACTTTTTTTAATGTCTACTACTAAAGATGTATGTGTCTTCTGTAGGAGGGGTGCATACAGTAGCGCTTATGAGGCTGGTGTTTTCTCTCTCTCTCTCTTGACAATAGTACTTTAAGGTTTATATAACCCTCTGTTTTTTTTTCTCTATTCACCCACAGATGATGATTCAATTTGACCCCAGAAAAAGGATTACAGCCTTCGATGCTCTTTCGCTACCATATTTCCAATCTGGTAACCCTACTACCACCACCAACACCACCGCTATGTCGAGAGATATGAATATGTCTAATCAGAATAGCATTCCACATATTGACACCGCTCTATGTAGACCATTATTCAACAATCCACCGGCAACACAAACAATTGGATTATTACCAACGCGTTTTACAATGAATCCTGTTTATCCTACTCAGTCATGTGCAGCTGCATTGTCATCTTATTTACAGCAAACTATTAATGGTTATAATAATAATAATAGTAATATACCGTCGTCTGCAGGACATTTACTACCGTGTATTGCTGTCGGTGGTGGTGGTGGTGGCGGTTTCGACGAAGTTGATGGTCGTCTTCTTCTCCCAGTCAATAATAATAATAACAATAATACTAATATACAAAGTTTACCAAACCTAATGAATTTTACTTCTAATCCTCATAATCATCTATTAGGAGGAGTCCCTAATGCATTTACAATCAATCCAGGCATTCCACCTTCAAGCAACTCTGATATTTCACTGATTAACACGCTTTCAATTATCAACAATACTACCAATGAGATATCAATACCAGAGATGTCACTGTCTACTACTACTACTGCAACAGCAGCATACGCTGCAGCTACAAATCTTCCAGAAGCATTACCACCAGCACAGCCGCCTAGACGACCAGTTACACGACAACAAACCAAATCGATTCGACGACATACTACTCAGTCGACTCGATCATGTCTCACAGAATTAAATCAAACGACTACTACTGCTGGTAGCATTAGTAGTAGTAGTAGTAGTAATACTGTGAAAATCGAGTATCATGACACACAGAAAAATCCTGGTGCAATGCAGTCTGAAAATATACCTCCACAAAATCCAGGTGGTGGTGGTGGTGGTTTTAGAGGGAGAACAAATCCAGCGAATGATGGCGCTGGTGGTGGTGTGGTGGTTAGACATAGGCGGACTGCTCGTCGTCGAACAGTTATGGGTGTTGTAGAGGTAAATTTGATACTGTTTAAACAGATATATATATATATATATATAAACATAATCATTTTATTTTAATCTGAAGACGATTTAAGCGTCGTGTGGATAAATATACGTATATAGATGTTGGTTTGCAGGGATTTGACTGGTTACAAGATTTCATCACAGCTGTTAGCAGTTAGAGAACCATTAAACTGGAGTACTGGACAGCTGTTTCGTCCTAGTTTCGGACTCTTCAGTGTGTGCACCTTTCGCCAAGGTCTGAACCCAGGAACTTCTGGTTATAAGGCGACCATCATGCCACTGGGACCAGGTCAAGTGGCCAACCCATGAATTGTAAATTCTCCTAATCCCTAGTTTAAAGCCCAGGAAGGTGGGAAAGTTGGGCATAGGACTAGCAATTCTCTGCCTCGTAAAAAGCAACCCCATCTCTACTGAAAATTCAAACTGCAGAGAAATGTACTTGTTCTCCACTGGAATCAGGAATACTCCTGAATCTGTGGACGCATGGTGCTAGTCGGTGTAAGGCATCGGGTAGGCAGTTGGTCGATTTGTATTCTTACGACAAAGGCAAAAGAGGGGGAATTGTGTAGTTGGTAAATAACGGACTTTGTTTCATGAAATTGGTAGTTCACCCAAATAGCTAGTTAAAATTTAAGTAGTCTGAACTAATTTGACTCACCACTGGTCTGAGTCAGTCCAAGTACACACATCTGATAAACTGGGCCTAAGGAAGCAGGGCAGCTATCTGGTTGGTGTTTAAATTGCCTTAATCTTACTGGTGAGCCCTACTGACCGACGCTGAAGGTAGCTGTGTTGTGATTTCACCTCGAAATGTACTTGTACTTTACACATGGTAAGTTTTGTTCTATACCACATGACTATTCGCAAAGATTGGTCTGAAAATACTCTGTAGTAGTCGAAAGTTTGCATCATAGTCTGTAAGTTAAATCTATGACATGAGGGACTGCCGACTATATACTTTACTGGAATTCAAACAGGCCATTTTGAAGCATAACTAAAAAGATAGCATTTAAATAGGTAGTATGCATCCCTAACATGGACTAAATACATATCATTGGTTACTCTATTAATAACGAATCAATGTATCCTTTATAGTCCTACTTGGAGGGTCAATCGTGACGTCTTTGACTTCAGTATTACGTGATGTGGATGGGTTCGTATTTCAGAGGGGAGGCGATTTTTTGTTCAATGTTGTAGATACGCCTTTCTGCCGAATGTGTTAACAAGCATGGAACTTAGGTGTCCATGGCTTCCTCCCAATTACCGCCAACCATCTAACATGCATTCAGAGTGGATTTGATTTAATTTGTTATGGAGCATTCCTCTACTGCAAGCGTAGGGAGTCTCTATTATTATAATATCATTATTAGTATTCACTTGTATTCCGAGTGAAACACAGGGTTTCCACAGCATATCTACGTTTCGTCTTGTTCTCTGCAGTCCTCTTCATATGATTCCACGACCTCCAGTAAGCTTTTCTCTCCTCTTCGCACGATCTTCTCCATATTATCCTCGGACACCCAACTCGTCGTTTCTCACTCGAGGACTTGGTCTCCTCAGTGTGTATGTGTCTGAGCCATCTCCATTTTACCCTGCATATTTGTTGAGCGATAGATTTTTCGTTGGTTCATTTCCAGAGTTTCTTGTCGCTAATTCTTTCTGATCGGCCATCTGATTTTCATTATGGAGCCAGTGAAGGCAGCTGTTGATAAAAGTCTTCAATGGTCTGTTGGAAATGCTTGTCGTAACACGCAGCGCAAGTTTCTGACCCATATAGAAGAAGTGACTGACTTACTATTAGTATTGAAAATCCGAATCTTTTTCGCTGTGTTGAGTGTAGAAGAGTTCCAAACTGGTTTCAAGTTGATGAAAGTGTATCTTGGCTTTCCGATTCTGGCTTTGACATATTTATCCGTTCCAGCTTTGGTTGAAACAATGCTTCTTCGATATTTTCAAGTATTGGTTTTGTAGGGATTTTTGTTTGATTGGTTGGAGGATTTCATCATGAACTGACATCAGTTAGAGAACCATTGGAAGACCTGGAAGTACTGCACAGATGTTTCGTCCTAGTTTCGGACTCTTCAACAGTGTGCACCTTTCGCCAAGGTCCGAACCCAGGACCTTCTGGTTATAAGGCAACCATCATGCCACTGGGACCAGGTCAAGTGGCCAACCCATGAATTGTAAATTCTCCTAATCCCTAGTTTAAAGCCCAGGAAGGTGGGAAAGTTGGGCATAGGACTAGCAATTCTCTGCCTCGTAAAAAGCAACCCCATCTCTACTGAAAATTCAAACTGCAGAGAAATGTACTTGTTCTCCACTGGAATCAGGAATACTCCTGAATCTGTGGACGCATGGTGCTAGTCGGTGTAAGGCATCGGGTAGGCAGTTGGTCGATTTGTATTCTTACGACAAAGGCAAAAGAGGGGGAATTGTGTAGTTGGTAAATAACGGACTTTGTTTCATGAAATTGGTAGTTCACCCAAATAGCTAGTTAAAATTTAAGTAGTCTGAACTAATTTGACTCACCACTGGTCTGAGTCAGTCCAAGTACACACATCTGATAAACTGGGCCTAAGGAAGCAGGGCAGCTATCTGGTTGGTGTTTAAATTGCCTTAATCTTACTGGTGAGCCCTACTGACCGACGCTGAAGGTAGCTGTGTTGTGATTTCACCTCGAAATGTACTTGTACTTTACACATGGTAAGTTTTGTTCTATACCACATGACTATTCGCAAAGATTGGTCTGAAAATACTCTGTAGTAGTCGAAAGTTTGCATCATAGTCTGTAAGTTAAATCTATGACATGAGGGACTGCCGACTATATATCTTACTGGAATTCAAACAGGTCATTTTGTAGCATAACTAAACAGATAGGTTGTCTGCATTCCTAAATTGGACTAAATGCATGTCATTGGTTACTCTGTTGATAACGGATCAGTGTATCCTTTATAGTCCTACTTGGAGGGTCAATCGTGATTTCAAATAGCTCAGTGGTGACGTCTTTGACTTCAGTATGACGTGATGTGGATGGGTTCTGTCTGTCTGTCTGTTTTCGACATAGAACTTTGCACATATGTGTGGCGGCAGTTCAAGTCGCCACACTCCATGTAGCACACAGAGCAAGAAAAGAAAGTAGGAGAAATGCATAATATAGACAGTAAACAGAGGTGTGAGACAAAGGAATAGTAATAATGAAGAACAAAACAGTTTCATTGGAAATCATAAGTTACAAGGAGTGGATGCATCTGTGCCACTGAGAACGATTTTGAGCCATATCACCAATTGTTTCCAACCATTGGTTTTTACCGTCTCGAGAACCCCAACCAGTCAGGAAGTCTACACCTTCCTACGTGGCTTAGACTAACTGTTGTAAATTTCATTGACTGGTGCCATGTTTTGGTTTGACCGCCGCTAGCTCTTTTCCAGTCTGATCCTATATCAGCTAACATTGTCCGTCGAGGAAGGTGATGACTGGGCATACGTAACACGTGTCCTAACCATCTCAGTCGATGTAATTTCACAGTCTCGTCAATTGATTTCCCCTCCTTACCTAGCACTCGACGCCTAACCAACTCAATATTGCTCACTCTATTATACCACTTCACATAGGAGATAGAATGCAGACGCCTATGATCAAAGACAGCTAATGGGTTCGGATTTCAGTGGGGAGGCGATTTCCTTCAACGTTGTAGATACGCCTTGCTACCGAATGTGTTAACAAGCATGGAACTTAGGTGTCCATGGCTTCCTCCCGATTACCGCCAACCATCTAACATGCATTCAGAGTGGATTTGATTTAATTTGTTATGGAGCATTCCTCTACTGCAAGCGTAGGGAGTCTCTATTATTATAATATCATTATTAGTATTCACTTGTATTCCGAGTGAAACATAGGGTTTCCACAGCATATATACGTTTCGTCTTGTTCTCTGCAGTCCTCTTCATCTGACTCCACGACCTCCAATAAGATCTCTCCTCCTCGCACGATCTTCTCCATATTATCTTCGGACATCCAACTCGTCGTTTGTCACTCGGGGACTTGGTCTCCTCAGTGTGTGTATATCTCAGCCATCTCCATTTCCTCCTGCATATTTGTTGAGCGATAAATTTTTTCATTGGTTCATTTCCAGAGTTTCTTGTCGCTAATTCTTTCTCACTGGGCATCTGATTTTCATTATGGAGCCAGTGAAGGCAGCTGTTGATAAAAGTCTTCAATGGCCCGCTGGAAATGCTTGTCGTAACAAGCAGCGCAAGTTTCTGACCCATATAGAAGAAGTGACTGACTTACTATTAGTGTTTAAAATCCGAATCTTTTTCGCTGTGTTGAGTGTAGAAGAGTTCCAAACTGGTTTCAAGTTGATGAAAGTGTATCTTGGCTTTCCGATTCCGACTTTGACATCTTTATCCGTTCCCCCTGTGGTTGAAACAGTGCTTCCTAGATATTTTCAAGTATTGGTTTTGTAGGGATTCTTGTTTGATTGGTTGGGGGATTTCATCATGAACTGACATCAGTTAGAGAACCATTGGAAAACCTGGAAGTATTGAACAGCTGTTTCGTCCTAGTTTGAGACTCTTCAGATGTACGCATTCACCACAGGGTTTTGAACCTAGGGCCCTTTGGTTACATGGCGAGCTCGTACACCATGAAGCCACTGCGACCCTATCCAATGGCCCATGAATTCTACCTTCTGCCAGTTCTTGATGTCAGCTGATGATGGAATCCTTCGACCAATCAAACAGAAATCCCTACAAAACCGATACTTGAAAATTCGTCTGATGCTCATTAGCGACTGGCCCAATTGAGGCAGTTACCTGTGGTTCTAGTAGAAAGTCGTGACCAGTAGCGTGCAGCATGTTGAAGGTGAGGCAGTAACTCATCGAAGAAGACATTGCAAAGTGGTCGCGCTATATCATGAATTGGTAGAAGTTAGAATTTATGGGGCTGGCCATTAAATCGGGCTTAATGGTCTACGAGCTAGCTCACCTTGTAGCCAGAAGTTTCTGGGTTCGAACCACTGTGTTGGGTGCGCACTGCTGGAGAGTCCCAAACTAGGACGAAACAGATGGCAGGCTCCTTAGATAAGCGAAGAAAGTAACATCTGACAAATCTCTTCCGATGATGGTGATCGGTGCTGGTTGTTGTTGCTGTGCGTTGGCTGGTTATCTCCATTGTCTCTATGTTTACCTGTAGTCCTGTCTTCGCTGCCTACATCTCCTGCCAGTTTGTTACTTTTCGCCTGTAAGTCTTCGAATTTACCTGAAATTAGACATAGAGCATCTGTCTTGAAGTCCAAATCTTTTAGTGTCTTCTTATCGGTCCAAGGGAAGGCGAATTTCTGCTTAATCGGCATAAATAATAATGTCACCCTCAACACACACATTGTTCGTAGTTGTAGTAGTATTAGTAGTAGTTAGAATTTAACTATGCTTTATTTTATTTCCATTATGTAGAAGTCTAATTCGTCAAATAAAGAAATTAAGAAGACGGATTCAATGAATCACAAAACTGGTGGTCGAAAGTCAAAAGAAAATACTGCTTCACAGATCCCGGTGGTCCCAAAAGAGGTGGTGAAGAGTTCTGCTATCGGTAGTCATAGTAGTAGCAGCGTTACTGAATGTCTTCCATATGTCTCTCTTTGCCGAACAGAGATTTCTTCAAATCAATCTACTACTCTTAGTGATAGTAATAATAATAATAATAATAATAATAATAATAATAATAATAATAATAATAGTGATAGTAATCGTGGAACGGCAACAAATATTTCTACAAAACCAAATTATCCTCGTGGTCGAATCTCAGAACGTTGTCAAAATGTCATCATGCCACAGCCATCGGATAATCGTTACCATTCACATATTCGACCAAGTAGTCGTTATTCTCTTGGACTATTGTCGTCATCCACTATCTCATCGCTTCATTGTATTCATGAGCAAGAGCATACATCATCTGTTGCTGTTGTCAATGAAAAGAAAAAACCATTGTCTACTGGTCGGTTAACTTCACAAACAATTCGTTCTAGTCAACAGATTGGATATTGCTCTTCTACATCGTCATTAGTGACAGCGGAGGGGGCATCAGCAGCAGTAGCGGCAGCAACACGAGGATCGACAAAAATTTCACGGCCTCTACCGCCACCAGCACCACAATCGCTGTCGTCATCATCAATACCAACGACAGTGTTTTGTTCCCCTCCCAAGTTGGTGCGTGTTATCAACCAGCATCCCCATCATGATGACCATGAACTAGAGTCTCCATTTTTAAAATTACTTCATAGAAAGAAGATACTCCAGCAGTCATCATTTCATGAACAGGAGGATAGCCTTATCACTTATGAAGATGAGGCTACAACAGACGACGAGGATGAGGCAGCCGACTCGTGGATTGATGATATTGAAAATCAACCAGCAAATACAAGTCTCGGGATAAATACGGCAATGACGGGTTTAGCGTTAGCTGGTTGTTGTAGTAGTAGCGCGGAGAGTAACAGTCAGAGTAATAGTAATAATTCTAGTCACCAGAAGAATACTGACGGTAATAATGATAATGTTAATGCTGATAGCACGAATAAGACAGATAACTGTTGTGACAATTGTAGTAGGCCTGTGGTAATAATGACAACATCTCTTCCATCTGGTACAGATTCTGCGCCCGTGGCGATATCGACTGACGACGCGTCGTCTGGACAACGAATACCAAAGAATAATGTCACTGTCCAGTTAACTGCTAGCTCCAGTGGTAATTATTTTGTGTGACTCTAGGCTGTAGACGAGTACAGACAGCGCGTTTCTTGTCTTCTTTTTGTTGTTTTGTTTTTCCCACCTAAAACACGCTTCAGGAAAGACTTGAATTCGAAGGGTCCAATTGCATTTTGTCGAAAGACGTATCTACCTTCATTCCAGGCTTTTATATTATTATTATTATAACTATTATAAATACCATTTTGGTGAACGCGTACCGCAAAAATAAGGAATTTATTATTACTATTTTTTCTTGACTTTGAGTATTTTTTGACGTCAGTTTTTTTTCGGACTATTAGTATTATTATTATTACTACTATTATAAGTAGTATTTATGTGCCTACTTTGTACTACTACTACTACAATTGCTCATTGCCAACAAACTGTTGGTCTTGATCTCATTTTGTTTTTTGGTATATTTTTTTGCCTTTTTATTTGTATCACCTCTGTTTTTTATTTGACGGCTATTTTGTTGTTGGTAATTGCTGCATTTACAAAAAATATTTTTTCTAAAAAAAATTTGTGAACGCTTAGATCTCGGTGTCAATCAATAGCCGCCGCCGTGTTGTATTCCCCTTCAGGTGTCACATTCCTAGTTGCCTTTACACACCAGTATTATTATTATTATTATTATTGTCTTGGCATTTAATTTTTCTCTGGGCTTAGAGAACTATAGATCTTTTATTTTCAATTTTTTTCCCAGTATTTTATATTCATTATTTTATCCTTGTGTATGTTTGTGTGTGTACCTTGCTGCCCTGTCACTCATCACTCTGGGGACTATTGCATTTAATTAAATCTCTCTCTATATATATATATCGATAATCAATGTGTTGCCTTCGTCATTCCTCAGTGCCTTTAAATGATACTTCATTATAAATACTGCCTTGTTTTCTATTTTTTTAAATGTTTTTATCACATATATATATACTCGTTGTTGTGCCTTTGTGAACTCTCCTTTTCCAGAGTCAAATTGTTTTCTTTCACATTGATGTGTTAAATAGTGCAAAAGCTGGAAGCGGGGGGGGGGGGCTGGTGAGGGTTGTGTATGTGTCCTTTTTTGTCTGTATGTGTGTGGGCGTGTATGTGCGTGTCCCTTGCTCCTTTCATCACTGGGGGGGAGCGGCCAAGAAGGGGCTAACTACTGCATTTTCTATTTTTAAAAAAATGACGCAATAGATCGCTGTGTTTTTCCTTTATTCTTACTTACTACTTACTACCTTGGTATTTCTTTACACATGTATATTTTTTTGGTTATTCATTTTCGTGTATGCTCGCGCGCGCGCGTGGCCTTCACTCCCTGCCTTCATCACTCGGAGAGTCTGAGGAGGAGCAGGGGGAGGAGGGTCTGCTTGCAATTTTTGAAAATCAGGTAAAACAGGTTGATTATTGTGCATTTTTTTAAAAAGTCTTTTGTTATTGGTGTTTTCAATGCATAATCGTGATTACGGACATTTTCTAAACTATATTTGTCTAAACATTTATATATACATACGATGCTACTTATTTTCCCGCTTGGTAACACATGTAAAACACAGGTGAACGCACTTTGTGTGAATATATTCAATTCGTTATTATTATTATTATCGTGAGTAATAATGTTATATATATATATATACATATATATATATATAATCTTTCCATATATATGCTTGCAAATTACTGCTGTATATGTCGTGTTTATCTCAATACATATATATATATATACGTATACATATATAATCAAAACGTGTGATTATTTCATGTTGATGTGATGATTTATATAAGAAGAATGATCAATAGACGAGGTGGATGAAGTGGACGAGCAGTGGGTGTTAGTAAGTGAGTGAGTAGTGAAGAATAAGAAGGTAGATAGAGGTGTATATGAAAGTTAGTGAATGTAAGAGATGAATAAAAATGTTATCTATCTGTCTATGGCATCACTCAATCAATATATCAGTCAGTCAATCAATCGATCGATCGATCAAATTAGTCAATAAAAATCAGGAAATATTATTAGTCTACCATAATGGATTTCTTGATTCACTTGTCTGTCGTGTACGTATTCCTGTTCTCAGTGGTTGATCATCGTCAACTTGAGCACCTACAACAAACAGTTCAGGGGATTTATTTTTAAAAAAAAAGGCGAAAGAATATACAATAGTTCCATATCAATTTGTTTGTTAGAAATATATCACACACACAGTCAGTGAAACAGTACTACCGGTTTTTTACTGAATGATGTGTCAAACACAATTTACTACTTAAAAGTTAATTGGTGGATGATGACTAGCAGTGGAATCCACCAGGATGCGCATTTCGTCCTGTTTTGGGACTCGTCATCCGATGATGATCTCAGTAACGAGGCTCGAACCCAGTGCCCATAGTTTCCAACGCCACTGCTAGTCATCATCCAACAGTTAACTTCTAATTATATGCCCAGGCATTGTCGACGCATCTGCACAAGAAGCCAACAGACATGTCAACCTGAAACCGAGCACAATTCGGTCCAATCAATCGACGGGAAAATCGAAAATTCAATTAAAACAATTTACTACTGTTCATAATCGTATACTCAGTTATAATCACACGACTTTGAAACTTGACTTTTATAGGTTTCTTTATTCTATTCTATTTTTCGTCATAGGTTGTAGTGATAGAATTTTTCAGATGTGTCAGGAAAGTCACACATTCAAACCGATATTTGAATACTCCACTCCACTCTATTTCAGGAAAAATAGGATTGCTAAAATGTTTAAGTGATAGAGTACAAAACTAAGTAATACCAAGGAAAATCTATGACAGGAGGTGAAGCATATAAGAGAAGCTTTGAAACTTAATTAATAATTGCCCTGATAAATTAATCAGGAAGTGTGTAGGGACATGTAAAAATAAAATAAATAATGATAATAGTAATGACGACATGCATGTCAAATATGCGCAAGATAATGACAACACCAACAATTGGGATTCTAAATCATCAATAGTACATCCATACAAAAAAGGGACCTCAGAAACTTTGTGGAGAATTCTTAACAAAGCAGGCGGGAATAAAAGTGGCTGGTATTCAAACAAACAAAGTCAATTAGAAACAAGATTTGTCGGTTAAAGGATCAGTCCTGTAGAGCCTTTAAAACAAAACAATTTGGTTTATCTAATACCCTGCTGGAATGATTGTCAGGTCAAAGTAGTAGAATAGGGTCAGTCAGACTAGCTGAACAGAAAAACCTTGCAAAATCTAGATTAGTTAACTCTGACAAGATAAGGAATCTGGAGAATAGTCCAGCTATAGCACTCGCTACACACAACCATGCAATGGGATAGGATAAGATGACAGTTTTAAAATGTAATGTAACGGTGGGCGGGGGAGCAGTTGGTAATGGCAGCTCTATTTATCGAATCAACTGAACACAAGTGTCCAGACATCTGGAAGACTACTACAACCTACGACAGCAAATAGGAGAGAATAAAGAAAACTATAGAAATCAAGTTTCGGAGTTGTGTAGGTATAATTGGGAATATGATTATGAACAGTAACAAATTATGTTCGAAACATCATCCAGTAAAAGAAAAGTAATACTGTTTCACTGACTGTGTGTGTAGTATATCTGATAAACAAATTAATAGGGAATTACATACTATCACAATGCGCAAGTTTTACACATGGAAATAATTCATTTGTTTCGGTGACATTGTGTATATTCCGTTAGACTGGAATGCTGCTTAATCTTTGTTGACTTGAATGAATAATAAATGATATCTGTTGCGCAAGAGGTGTGGCTGTCAATCCCCTAGTGGATAACGCTTTGGCGTTACAAACGGTGGCTAAGTTAAACTTTAAGCACCACTAACTACTACCAATCAGAGAATGACCTTGAACGCACCAATCACATGAAGGAGGCATTTTTGTGTATGGAATACAAATATTTATAAAAAAATTGCGTAAAATCTGTATAAAAGTGTTACAGATGATACCTAGCTCTCACATGTGATAGAAATAGGTCTCAGTCTTAGGTTGGAGTATCAGCAGAGTGTAGTTACATTGTGGGCAAAATTTATTTTGATAAAGTTTCATATTGTTATACAGTAATATTTTCTGAGCAATAAATGCTGCTCAAAACGTCATCAGTAAATATTACTGTATAACACTGTGAGACATTATCTAAATTTTACCCACAATGGAATTATACTCTACCACCACAGTGCACAAGTTCTATTCTTATATCAACAGAGAAATTTAACCACATTCTACGCATAAAATTATTTAGTTCTTCTAACCCTAACAATAACCAACCCTAATCTTTTCTGAACCTAACCCTAACGTGAAAATATCCCTCAACTAACTGTAATCTAACTCGAACTAACCCTAATATCGCCTTTATTAGGTTAACCTCACCCTAACTTGTCTTTAGCTTAAAGCGTAACTCAATCTTTCCCAAACCTAAGCTGAAACTTTCCAGATATCACATTCAACAGCATGACACTTCGATGAGCATATTTTATTGATGATGACAACATTACTTGTCAGGTTTCACTAATTTGCTCAGTGGGTGTTTCTAGGTCATTGGTGCGGGGTCTCACTCCATTGGTAGTTAGTTCGTGGTGCTTAAAGTTTAACTTGGCCCAAACGATGGGTGCTAGTTTCAAGTCGCAGTGGAGAAAATCACATTACTCATCGGAGATTGCAGGTGAAACAGACCTCAGAATATTACATCAAATAAGCAGGCCTCTATTCGGGAAAAGATCAACGTAGGTGAAACCTATAAAAGATGGTTAAAGTAATTTAATTACCAAAGACGAAAGATAAATAAAACAGTGGGTTGATCACTCCAAAGGATTCTTGAATCGACCATCATCACCTGCAACTCGCCCGAAAATACTACCAATAGCATGCACAGAACTACCTGCCAGTAGACACCAACCCTCCAATAAAAGCGGAAATCTTGAATGCAATCAATCTACTGGGTTGCCTGAGGGTGACATGGAGGAGATGAGAAACTATGAGCAATCGAAGGCCCAGCTAAATAGGATAGCTGAATATAGAACAAAGTGGTGATGTGCTGTTGTTGAAGCCCTATGTTTCACTCCGGTAGCCATGGAAACAACAACAATAATAAGTGCGATACCTAGAGAGGCCCATTGCTTTCTCACTGATTTCTGATAATCTGTGCAGATCATAACTTTTGATTGGACACTAGTTAGTAACTAGTTTAGTCCGTCTAGTTCTTTGTTTTTGTGCAGACTGAATTCTATCAGTCACGTTGGCAATGTGGCCACCATGCCACTAGGTGGCTTGCCATCACGGTGCATTTTGTGAATACTTGATATTAGATGGTTGGAGACAATCGGCCACAGGAAGCCTTGGACTACCTAGGTTTCGTGCTTGTTGGCACTTACCAGCCAGGCAAAGGCGTATCTGCGACCACCTTGAAGGAACTCATGTTCCTTCTGAGATTCGGAACCGCGCCAACCAGCGTGTACTGCAGTCAGAGACGTTACCACTGAGCCAGCTATTCAGGCTCGCGATCGACCTCCTACAGGACTGGCTGTATTGGATACTTTGATTGGACACTGGTAACTAGTGCGATGTGTCTAGTCCTTTGTTTGGTGCAGACTGAATTCTAATTCTTGTAACCAGAAGGTCCTGG